GATTCCCTGATCCAGAGGGTTGCTTGTCATTGTATCCTTTCAGCATCTTTTACCAAAAAAAAAAAAGTATAGCCTAATGCTAAATTAAATTAGATCAGAGGTCAGAGAGCTGAATAAAAAAATAAAAGCTATAATAGAAAAACAACAATGGAAGACTTTATATTGTGATTCTGACATTGACTTCCCTGGCAGATCTTTCTACGTGGTGTGAGCCTATTTCCAGACTTAAAAATGGGAAGAAGAGTATTTCATGGGATTTCTGTGGAGAATGAAATAATGATATACTTTGTACACATACTATTCAACCCATGTTTATTTCTATTTTTTTTAATTTTAATAAAAAAGAATTAATAGTGGGTAGTGAGTCATAGCATCAACTTTCCATCATCTTCATAGCCAAATATAATGCCAGTTGCCACTGAAAAGACTGGGTTTAAGACAGCCTGCATCCTGTGATCAGTTTCTTCTCTCTTCCCTTCTTGCAGCCAGCTCCTCCCTAAAGAAGCGATTTAAGCGGCGGGAGATTGAAGCGATCCAGTGCGAGGTGCGGAAGATGTGCAACTACACCAAGATTCTGTCCACCAAGAAGAACCTGGACCACGTGAACAAGATCCTGAAGGCCAAGAGGCTGCAGAGACAATCAAAGACGGGCAACAACTTCGTCAAGAAGAGGAGAGGGCGTCCCCGGAAGCAACCCACGCAGTTCGATGAGGACTCCAGAGACCAAATGCCAGTGCTGGAAAAATGCATCGACCTTCCCAGCAAACGGGGTCAGAAGCCGAGCCTGAGCCCGCTCGTCTTGGAGCCGGCCGCCAGCCAAGACACCATCATGGCCACCATCGAGGCCGTCATCCACATGGCCCGGGAGGCGCCGCCCCTGCCCCCGCCGCCGCCCCCGCCCCTCCCGCCGCCCCCGCCACCCCCGCCGCCCCCGCCTACCCCTCTGCCCAAGACTCCCAGAGGAGGCGGGAAGAGGAAACACAAACCTCAGCCTCCGGCCCAGCCCCCGCAGCAGGCGCCCCCGCCACAGCCCCTTCCCCCGGAAGAGGAAGTGAAAGCCAAAAGGCAGAGGAAGTCGCGAGGGAGTGAGAGCGATGTCCTTCCGTAGGGTGGGTCCGAACCTGGGGCCGGGGGTGGACTGACGCGTTGGAAGTGCAGTGAGCCGGGCTGGGCGGAATCCCCGCCGCAGGGACACCATGCCCTGCTCTCCAGAAGCTGGGCAGGGGCAGAATCGGGCCAGAGGACGGGGTTGAGCCTTCAGGAGCTCTTGGCAAAGCAAAGCAAGGGGACGTCTTCAAAAGGATGGGTGTGTGCGTGCGTGTGTGCGCGCGCGCGTGCGTGTGTGTTCCACAGCAGTTCCCACCAAGCAGCACTTCAGAATGGCTAGATCCTTGACAGGCAGCAGGAGACCCATCCCAGAGGAAAAAGATGGTGGTGCTCCCTGAAAGCCGCCAGACCTCCTGCAGCCAAGGTGCACCCTTGATTCCATTGCAGTTACTGGACAGGAAGATTGAAAGGGAAACGCCCTCAATTAGGAAACATTCCAAGGGGAGAAAAGCGGCAAATTTCTCAACTGGCTTTGTTGTAATCCACTTCCATTTAATTGGTTTTTATTTCTTCTGGTTTTTCGAGCTAGGCTAGGCTTTGGGGCACCAAAATCATCATCAGGTGACCCGAATCTTTCTGTTAACAATACGGTTTCTCAGATAGACTGATGTCATCGGAGGGTGAAATTCTAGTGATAGGCAACCTCAGACATGCATTCATACTCTTTTGTGTGTTTCCTCTACCACACATACTGATTTTTAGCATCATCTGTTCCAACTTTTTCTTTGCACATTGTACTTCCATGTACCTTTTCATTACCTTTCATACCTAAATAATGTAAACCTTACCTGTGTCATAATGTTCATCCTTGGCATCCTGTTCCAAGGAACTTGGCTTTGAATCCCAGTCATTGTGAAACAAATACTTAGTATTGATAGAGCCATTTAAAAATAAGTAATTTAAAGCAACTAAAGATACATTGACCCAGGTATCAATCAGGTTATTTTTGTACTTAAAGCATATCAGTGAAGTATGGACAGATTAAAATGGTTTTAATGCCCCATAGAAAATGGAATAACTGACAGATCACCAAAAATTGAAACCCCAGACCCACCAGAAAGACAAGTGTCTAGCAATGCCTTGGTGTGTGATTTTTTTTTCAAACAGATAACTGTCAAAGGTCATTGAAAAAAAAGGTGGGGGGAGCAAAAAGACAATAGAAGTCCATTATTTCTTTTCATGAAAGCAGATGGGATTAAGTGTTCTTATCTGGGAAAAAAGAAAGGAAATGCTCAAAGGGTGTCACCACTCCAATCGTATCACATCACCTTGGACAAAGTATCCAAGTTGTGGTTGCCTTAATAAACTGAAACATATTGTACATAATGTAATTATAAGTCTATCAGTCTGCATGGATGCAAACTGTGTGTGACAAATCGTCTTTTAAATGGTCAATTTCAACTGTACATTTCTCATCCAAGTTGTACTCTAGCCATTGGTTTAATGTGGACAGATATTCCATCTCTTTTACCCATTTCCACAGCCCAAGTAAAACATATTAAGAAACTCTGAATGAATATAAAGTTATTCCATTGCCATAGATGTTTTCTAAAAGTCAGATATGGAAACTTCAAATAAGTATTTTCAATTTCCTTCCTCACACCTCCCCCTTATCTTCCCTAAGACATCAAATACCTGGTATGGTAGATTATAAAAAGAGAGACACTAAGAGACAGAATTAAATTTTCCGATGAGAATGAGAATATCTGGTTTACCTCCAAATTGCTTCTCTACAGGAAGTTGGGAACAGCAGAAAATTGTATTATTACTTCAGAATATAACATTATTTCCTTAGAGAAAGAAGGATTTTTGTCGGGAACATAGGAGAGTAAGGGATGGGTTATCTATCAGAGTAAATGTTTAAATTCCAAGTTAATATGCTTGCAAACATCACTGCTCTGTCATGGCACCAGCAGTTGGTTGAAATTACCCACAGAGTCATCCTATTGTGTGCTATCACCATGGACTTCACATCGTGTGCTGCCACTGTGTCAGTAGCATTTAATCCCAGCATATGTGAGTTTAAAGGAATGCAGTCTCCTGTTCTTCAAAGCTTATATCTTAGATACTCAGTTTATGACCTAGGTTGACCTTTGGCATTTCACACAGGTTGAACAGCAAAATCAAACCAACCACTTTCAATTTGTCATTCCCAAGCCATATCTGAGTGTTTCCAAAGTCATTCAAGAGGAAGGTTTAAATTATCCCTGCTCACCCCACCATTGCTATGAAAGAATACCCATTTTCATTCCAATTAAGCCATAAAGAGATTTCTTTCTTGTTGGATTTTGAAAATAATTGATTTCATTCTTTCTTTTGCCCTTCTTCCTTCCAGTGTTGTACTGTTTCCCCAACCAAATCTGTAAGCAGACTAAATCTTCCTGCAGAGAGGAATAAGCTGACACTCTCTAAGCTTCTTAAGGAAGGACCTAAAGCTCAATTGGCATTAACCTCTAGTAGGTGAGAAATTTCAAATAACTCTAGGATACATGAATTTCCAAACCAACAAAAGGTATTCCAAGAGAGATACAGCAGACTTATACCTTATACATAAATTCAGTTCACCAGTGATCATGTGAGTCAAATGCAGATCTTCTACATTTATGATCCCAAAACTAGACTGGAAAACTGCAGAGGAGCAAAACTGAGATAAGTGAATCCACTGTTTGGAGGTGGATGCAAGTCTTGTCACCTGCAGGGCTTCTCTTTCCCATCAAGTTCTTCCCTCAGTATTACATTACTTTGATTTTTTTCTTTTGCTTTCTATTAACCTAACTCATCTTTCTCGTATGGCCATTTCCTCATTTTCTAACTACCCCCTTTGCATTAGCCTCTCCTGTCCAGGCTCAATAAGGGGCCAGTCTCATTTCACATCTTACTGGTAGCAGAACCAGTATTAGAACCCAACTCTCCTGACATGCACTGTGGAGGTCTCTTAGCCACTCAACACTGCTTTCTGTGGCTACATATTTAGAGAAAATGCACAAGACTCCATAAACCAATCCAAAAGTATTTCATAATAAGAGAAATTCCTTGGTTTACTTTTCTGTTTCCTCCAAGACTTGCCCTCAGCAAGGAGGCACTTAATATGGACCCACTTATATGGAGTCTGATTAGGGGTAAGCAAAGGGTGGAATCGGTATAAAAATCACCTTGAGGGTGATGATGGGTCTCCGAGCCATCTTCCTAAGTGGCTGGGGAGCCACTTGTTTTTTAACCGCTCATCTCAAGTGAGAGAAACAGAGTTTAACTTCCTCTAATGTCTTGGCTCCCACTGCAACCCGAGGAAGACAGGTTGAAGGAAAGGAGAGCATGTCAGGGCTGGCTTGTGATTTGACAGGCCTGGGACTCAACAGCCACTGACAGCCCCAAGTAGGTGACTAAGGGCCGACAGGATTAGCATGTTAACTTGGCTGCCGTCCGGAGTGAGAGGCCACATTCGATGGCAGTCGGAGTTTGTGTTCTGGGCATTGCTGGTTCTATAAATATGATAAGCAAGTGGTGACAGAATTATAGTATAAGGTGATGTACTACATGGAGATCATAAAGGATTTGGTTTTAGGACTTAAGTAGAAAATCTACTCCTACAGCTTATTACCCGACAATATTCAGATAATGAGCTTTTGGAGAATATTATTTCCCTACCACTAGGAAGATTTACCTGGGAACTGTCTAAAGTCTATACATATATTTCCAAAGCCTTTAAATGCCAACTGTAGCATGGGGGTTGGGGGGGGGGAGGTGGCAGAAGCTGAAATGCCTCAAAAGCCATTTAAGTGTTACATTGCAGGATTTTCAGTCCTTCACATTATGTAAAAGTAGATAAATATAGACATTATTCTCAATTCTACCCTATAATATCACAATGGTCCACACGCCAGAGCTTACAGACAATGTCATCACAGTGCCTAGAAACTCGAACTGTAATATACCGTAGCATTTTCTTGGTGTTTTTTAAAGTTTCCTTCCATAACACCAGACTCCCTCTGCCTCTTGTTTCTTGGAGAGTTTGCCCTACTGATGAGTCTGCCTTCCTTGTTGGACTCAGTCACTTGGGGAACAGTCTTAGAAGCACATATCAACCAAGGAAGAAACTTCCTGGATATCTCTTGCCCACTTGCCCAGGTATAATAAACACTAAAGGGGGAAAAATTGAAAAGAGCTGCCACTGGTCAACACAGAAGGGCAGTTCCAGCTTAGGTTGGTGTCTTTCTTTTTCTTCCTTTTTTTTAAAAAAAAAATCTATTTCTTAAATAATAATAAATGCACATGATGTGTTAAATATGTATATATATATTTCAAAAGAAAAAAATGGGGCACAAGATTGTCTTACAAGTCGTGCTGGCTAATTTTTAGTTTGTATTCATAAGTGGTTTTTAAAAGCCTTTTTTAAAGTGTAATTTGCATGTTCTACTTTGATTGTATGTAAACATATTTTAGAACAAAAAATGTATTTGTATTTTATTGAATATAGAGGCAAGAAAAATTGTACATTGTTTGAAATGTTCTTTTTGTAACAGTTTTTATTCATAAAGCATTTTTGTACATTTAAAATGAACATGGACTTGCTGTTATTTGAGGCGTAGATACATCTGGCATGCTTTACTGTCATGCTCCTCCATGGTCTTAGATGTTGGGTTTTAAACATTTTTTCTAAAAGAAAGCTCAGTCTTTTTCGCTACCAGATCAGGTTAGCACAGTATAGAGCACTTAACTATTAAAAAAAAAAAAGTTAATCCTATTCATATGTTATTCATTGTGTGAAATTAAAGACATTCAATTCAGTCTAACATGAGTTGTGAATTCTTTTGTTTTATTTTCCATCTGGTTCACATCACTAAGGAGTTTAATAGCATTTGGGGGTCTTTGCTCACACCAACTGCATATAGAATCATTGAAAAAATTCTCACCAAATTTCTGCCTTTTGTATGATTCTGGGAAATACATTTTGGGCAAGATTTGAGTCTGATTTACAGAGTTACTGTTCAGAATATATTACAGCTGGACATAAAGCCAAGCCTGATTCAAAGAACTAGTCAGAACTCTGCTGAAAGCAATCCAAATGTAGTATAAGATGTTGGAGACCCATCCTATCCTAAAATTTTAGAAGAACATTATGGATTAAGCTTTCTTACTAAATATCCCATGATGTTAAATAGCTAAAGGATGGATCCCTGACTGGCCTTAAAGTTTTACTGGAATGATAGGAAAAGCTATTTAATCAACCACAGGCAGTTACTGATCACGTATCCAAAACTCCCAGTCTCAGCAAGACCCGAAAGGCAGTGCCGAGGAATATACAATCCTTGCTCTGAAGGAACTTACAAGATCAGCATGTGGAAAATAAACTATAGTTCTAGGCAGAATATGGGAAGCAGTAAAAGAGTGATGGATTCTCAGAATAAGGGTGGAGCCCTTGAGGTGGCACTTTCTTCTGTTCCTACTCTTTCTATTATAATTTTTATATTCAGAAGTAGGTTTTAAGAGCCCTTTTAAAAGTGTAATTTGCACATTCTACTTTGAGAACATGTAAACATACATATATTTATATATTTTTCATTTCCTTTCTTTATCTTCTGATGCACCACTTCAAAAAGCCAACAAGGTAAGTAGGAAATATTATTAGCAGCTCTGCATCCTTAACCATCAACCTGACCCAATGTAACATTTATTATGACTTTTGATATTTGCAGCACACACAGTGGAATAACAGGAATCTTGTGGAATGAATAGCAATCTTCAAGAGTGGATTATTAGGGCAGTCCCCAGGGTGGTTGGAATCCTAATGCTTTAGACAGTCACCTGAGACTCAGAGAATTTAGTCAGCAATCTCTATCAAAGTAGAATTTGCCCTCTTTCCTCTGCCAACTATCTTGCACTGAACCTTCTCAACCTAGGGATTGAACCCAGGTCTCCTACATTGCAAGCAGGTTCTTTTCCAGCTGAGCCACAAAAGCTCAAGAATACTGGAGTAGGTAGCCTATCCCTTCTCCAGCAGATCTTCCCAACCCAGGAATTGAACCAGGATCTCCTGCATTGCAGGCAAATTCTTTACCAACTGAGCTATCAGGGAAGCTTGCACTGAACCAGGAAATTTTAAAACCTCATATAGTCCTCTTTCATTAGTGTTGATATTTCTGAAATCAGCAAGGACTCCCAGGGGTATACCTAATCTCTTCCCACCAACTTCTCATATAGGGACAAAGCTGTTGCCATGAAACTGATTGGCTCAACCTTTAGGGTTTTTCATCAGTCCAGAGAATAGCAACGTGCTGACAGAAACTGTGAAGACAGTCAGATGTGTTCACACATGTTGCTGGTACGAAGCTTAGTGTACAATTTTTTACACCCTGTTCTACCAGCATGGATGAACCTTAGTTCCAGACCTAGGATTTCTTTTCTAACCTGGAGGGGAAGGAAAGAAGGGCCTTTCAGAAAGCCTGACTCCAATTCTTCCAAATGATTTCTCTGTGTTCCAGTCTTTTCTATTTTCCTAGTCCCTAGGCATTTAAATTGAAAAACCAGAAACAAGTTTTTCCTTTTTTAATTTTGCTCCTCTGTGTTCTGCTGTCAAGTACATACCCTGAGGGGGTAAGGACAAGTCAGCCTAGCTACCTGAATTGAAGGGAGGAGATAGCAGAAAAGTTAGAAATACGGGTAATTGGTTACTACTTCCAAAAGTTTAACCTGGTATCCATGTGATAGGGAATAAGGACAATGGAAGTGAAAAGCTAAAGGATTTGCCCAAGTCTTAAAAGGCTCTTAATAGGTGAGGTGAGATATGGGTGTGAAAAGAATTGGGAAGGTGGCAACAGCGGCAAGCATTTTCATTGTTTGTTATTACTGACACTTTCACTTCTGTAGGAAAGGCCAAAATTCAGGTTTTTAATTGTTATAAAAAGCTGTGGCAACACACTTTGTTGAGAGCTTTTGTTTCAGGATTCATTAAAGGGAAAAAACAAACAAACAAACAAAACTGGTTCTCATTCATATATGCCAAAATTGGGAATTAACAAATGAGAAATATTAAAACTTCAATAGAGAAACCTCACCTATTTTATCATTACTAAACTTGATATTTTACCTTAATTCTACTCTTTTTAGAGAATAAAACACTGGAATAAGAGTCAAGATATCTGGAAGGTATTTCCACTTGGTCGCTAAAAAATTCTACACCAAAGAACAGAACTTCTTTGAGCCTCACTTGCTTACTCTAAAATAGGGAGTTAAGTTCTTAATGATATCTGCAATGGCTTACAAGTTTAACTCTCCAATTCTATCATTGTTCTACCTTCCAAACAAGCCCTACCTTTAGTTCCCAGCTTTATCTGTTGTGTAGATAGTTGTTCAGTCACTCAGTTATGTCTGACTTTTTGCAAGCCCATGGACTGCAGCACGCCAGGTTTCCCTGTTCATCACCATCTCCTGGAGCTTGCTCAAACTCATGTCCATTGAGTTGGTGATTCCACCCAACCATCTTGTCCTCTGTTATCCCCTTCTCCTCCTGCCTTCAATCTTTCCCAGCATCAGAGTCTTTTCAAATGAGTTCACTCTGCATCAGGTGGCCAAAGTATTGGAGCTTCAGCTTCAGTATCAATCCTTCCAATCAATATTCAGGGTTGATTTCCTTCAGGATGGGCTGGTTTGATCTCCTTGCAGTCCAAGGGACTCTCAAGAGTCTTCTTCAACACCACAGTTCAAAAGCATCAATTTTTTGATGCTCAGCTTTCTTCACAGTCCAACTCTCACATCCATATATGACTACTGGAAAAACCATAGCTTTGACTAGATGGACCTATGTTGGCAAAGTAATGTTTCTGCTTTTTAATATGCTGTCTAGGTTGGTCATAGCAGTCCTTCCAAGGAGCAAGCATCTTTTAATTTCATGGCTGCAGTCACCATCTGCAGTGACTTTGGAACCCAAGAAAATAAAGTCTGTCACTGTTTCCATTGTTTCCCCATCTATTTACCATGAAGTGATGGGACCAGATGCCATGATCTTTGTTTTTTGAATGTTGAGTTTTAAACCAGCTTTTTCAGTCTCCTGTCTCACCTTCATTAAGAGGCTCTTTAGTTCCTCTTCACTTTCTGCCAGAAGGGTGGTGTCATCTTCCTATCTGTGGTTATTGATGTTTCTCCTGGCAAACTTTATTCCAGCTTGTGCTTCATCCAGTCTGGCATTTCACATGATGTACTCTGCATAGAGGTTAAATAAGCAAGGTGACAATATACAGCCTTGGCGTACCCCTTTCCCAATTTTGAAGCAGTCTGTTTTTACATGTCTGGTTCTAACCATTGCTTCTTGACCTACATACAGATTTCTCAGGAGGCAGGTAAGGTGGTCTGGTATTCCCCTCTTTGTAAGAATTTTCCACAGTTTGTTGTGATCCACACAGTCAAAGGCTTTACTCTAGTCAATGAAGCAGATGTTTTTCTGGAATTATCTTGCTTTTTCTATGATCCAAAGGATGTTGGCAATTTGATCTCTGGTTCTTCTGCCTTTTCTAAATCCAACTTGAACATCTAGAAGTTTTCAGTTCACATTCTATTGAAGCCTGGCTTGGAGAATTTTGAACATTACTTTGCTAGTGTGTGAAATGTGTGCAATTTTGCAGTAGTTTGAGCATTCTTTGTCATTGCCCATCCTTGGGATTGGAATGAAAACTGACATTTTCCAGTCCTGTAGCCACTGCTGTGTTTTCCAAATTTGCTGGCATATTGAGTGCAGCACTTTCACAGCATCATCTTTTAGGATTTGAAATAGTTCAGCTGGAATTCCCACACCTCCACTAGCTTTGTTCATAGTGATGCTTCCTATGGCCCACTTGACTTCACACTACAGGATATCTGGCTGTAGGTGAGTGATCATACCATCGTGGTTATCTGGGTCATTAAGATTTTTTTTTCTATAGTTCTGTGTATTTTTGCCACCTCTTTTTAATATCTTCTGTTTCTGTTAGGTCCATACCATTTCTGTCCTTTATTGTGCCCATCTTTGCATGAAATGTTCCCTTGGTATCTCTAATTTTCTTGAAGAGAACTCTAGTCTTTCCCATTCTATTGTTCTCCTCTATTTCTTTGCATTGTTCACTTATGAAGGATTTCTTATCTCTCCCTAATAGATCCAATGACCTTTTGGGGTTGTCTATCCTCTGTATAGCTTATCCTGTCCTAGTGTGACTAAGGAAGTGAAGGTGTGGAGGAAATTAATGAAAACAAATATAATCCTAAGAACATATAATGAAGCTTTTTT